AATACAGTTCCTCATGTTGTGGTGACCCCCAACCATAAAATTATTTTCGTGGCTACGTCATCACTGTAATTTTGCTACTGTTATGAATCGTCACGTAAACATCTGATATGCAGGATGGATTTTCATTGTTACAGATTGAACATAATTGAAGCATAGTGATTGATCACAAAAACAGTATGTAATTATATATGTGTTTTCCGATGTGAACATGATGAGGGGGAGGGTGGCTTGATTCTGTCTCCCTCTCAGGTGCTCTCACCGTACTGTGAATGAATGAACGAACGAATGAATGAATGAAAGAAAGAATGAATGAATGAATGGAAGACAGGCCTGGATTCCAACCCTGCCCATGGCCCTCACTGTTCACGGCAAATCAGGGAAGATCCTGAATCTCTTCAACCTGTTTTCTTACCATACTGTGAATGAATGAATGAACGAATGAATCAATGAATGAATGAAAGAATGAATGAATGGAAGACAGGCCTGGGTTCCAACACTGCCTATGGCCCTCACTATTCATGGAAAATGAGGGAAGACCCTTAATCTCTTCAACCTGTTTTCTTACCATACTGTGAATGAATGAACGAATGAACAAATGAATGAATGAAAGAATGAATAAATGAATGAATGAAAGAATGACTGGAAGACAGGCCTGGATTCCAACCCTGCCCATGGCCCTCACTGTTCAGAGGGAAGACCATTTATCTCTTCAACCTGTTTTCTTACCATACTGTGAATGAATGAACAAACGAATGAACAAATGAATGAATGAAAGAAAGAATGAATGAATGAATGAATGGAAGACAGGCCTGGGTTCCAACCCTGCTCATGGCCCTCACTGTTCACGGCAAATCAGGGAAGACCCTTAATCTCTTCAACCTGTTTTCTTACCTGCCAACTGGGAGGTTACGCATATAACCCACCTCGAAGGGTTTGTGAAGATGAGCTCGCGGAGGCGGGTTCCCAGGACCCACAAAATGCCAGGGCTAAGACCGCCCTCCCTCGACTCTGACCAGCGCTGGCAAAGGACAGCCCTCAGGACTCCGCCCTCTGCTATCCCTGTGGTCGCTGGCAATCGGCGCTGCTGCCCTGGCCGGTTTAGCTCAGTGGCCAGCGTGTCGGCCTGTGGACGGAAGGGTCCTGGGTTCGATTCCGGTCAAGGCCATGTACCTGGGTTGCAGGCTCCACCCCCGGACGAGGTGCACGCAGGAGGCAACCCATCCATGTGTCTCTCTCACATCCATGTCAGTGGTTGAGCGTCCTCCTAGGAACCAGGAGGTCAGGGTTCGATTCCCGGTCAGGGCACAGGCTGGGGTTGTGGGATGGATCCCCAATGAGTCCGAGACGAAGGACGCGTGTCCATCGGCTGCTAGAACATTTGCCGCCGGTATCAGTGGGGAGAGATGGTGCGCCTGAGTGTAAGGGAAATGAATGCAACACGATTAGAGTCATCAATCATTAGCGAACGTTGTGGTTTGTGATTAATAATGATGTACAACATGATAGTGTAAAAATTGAGAAAACTTATATTAAAACGTTTCTTACATGTCGTCCTATTGGCTGGGCCGCAGAAATATTCGTTGTGGGCGCATGCGGCCGGCGGGCCGCGAGTTTGACACGCGTGGAGTACACAGGCCATTCGCCTGGTGACAGGGTCTCATTTCCCCACCGGCTTTTGCAGACCCATCGCCCCTCCTACCCCATCCTCCAGGGACACACCATCCAGCCGCACGGTCACAGGCGCAGGCTGTCGGCACCGAATACTTTTACAACATCCAGTGCATTCGGATTTGTTTCTGGCCCGGCCAGGGCGGCTCAGTGGTTGAGCGTCGACCTAGGAACCAGGAGGTCACGGTTCGATTCCCGGTCAAGGGCACATGCCCGGGTTGCGGGCTCGATCCCCAGTAGGGGGCGTGCAGGAGGCAGCCAGTCCATGATTCTCTCTCATCATCGATGTTTCTCTCTCTCTCCCTCTTGAAATCAATAAAAATATGTTTTAAAAAAGAAAAGATGTGTTTTTTGCTTGGGAAGACATCCGTAAAGAATTCATTAAACGCTCACACAGATAGAATCCTATAGAATAAAGAGCTAAGATGCTAATTAGACCGAACGACCTTCCAGACAACCTTCCGGATGACCTTCCAAACAAAGCCGGGGCTGCAAGAGCTGAGCCCTTTGCATGAATTTCGTGCACCGGGCCTCTAGTATCCACATAACAGGGACGGAGGTGAAAGGGCTAGTGAGTGACCAGACCCGACTGGAGAAGGAATGAGATGAGACCCTCTGTGAAGAACCGGCCGCGTTGCTACTAAACGCACCCCCGCCAGGGGACGCCGCTGCTCGCCCAGCCTGTGCCCAGATCCAGAGAAGAGAGACAGCGGTCGGGGCGTAGGAGCTCAATGCCGTGTATCGGAGGCTTTTAAGGGCCATCACATTGATCGAAAGGATGGTTTCAAAAGGCAGAAAAGACAGGTGCATAACCAGGAAGGGCCGGCCCTTGAAAACGGGTTCGTTGGTAACTGCCTCTTCGTCCTCAGGAGTCACGCTCAGCAGACCCCATGGAAAGAGACGGAAATTCGAGTCCGAACCTGCTAAATGAATGGGGACTCGTGAATGAATGATCATCTGCACTCGCTTTCTTTTTAAAATAAAAAATATTTTTTTATTGATTTCAGAGAGGAAGGGAGAGGGGGAAAGAGGGAGAGAGAGAGAAACATCCATGAGGAGAGAGAAGCATCGATCGGCTGCCTCCTGCACGCCCGACTGGGGATGGAGCCTGCAACCCGGGCATGTGCCCTAATCGGGAATCGAACCCTGACCCCCTGGTTCCTAGGTCAGAGCTCAACCGCTGAGCCACGCCGGCCGGCCGGGCGGGATTCACTTCTTATCCCCAAGGCTTCGAGGTGGGCTTGTGTCTCCGTGTTTTGCAGGAGCTCGTCTGCGTAAGTGCATCCCGCGTTGTGCCCTTGATAACGTGGCCACCTTCCATGAAATGCCTCGTCTTTCTTTGCAGCCAGGGAACATTTAACTATTAAAAATGACGCAAACCGTGACCACGACCGGTAACTGTGACAGAATTCTGACGGCTTATAGAAATCTCATCACCGATCCCCAATGGACTCGGGACGTGCCTGGAGGCCCTCTACTCGAACCAGTTCTCCTTGAGCAAAAACCCAGCGGCGTCCCGGAAGCCGCGACGGTACAGGGATTCCATTTCCCGCTGGCCCGGCGGGAACAGGGCCTGGTTGAGCCGCACCAAGTTGGCCACGGACACCTAGGACAGAGAGACAGGGTGGGGCTGTAGGGCAGGGCCGTGCGTTATATCTGTAACCTGATGATTAGCAATCTACACTAATCGAAGAGAAACATGCAAATTGGTGTCACTCCGCGACGCCCACCAGCCAATCAGGGCGAGGATGCAAATTAACCCAACAAAGATGGCGGGTAATTTGCATACATAGGCGCAGAGCAAAGACTGAAGACGGCGTAGAAGGAAGCCAAGCGCTGCAGAAGGGAGCAAGGCAGCGGAGAAGGGAGCGAAGCCCGCCTCCCTTCTCTGCTTTGCTCCGGCCGCAGGAAGCCCTATTCTTGCAGGAATCTTCCTGCAACGGGCCTCTAGTAATAGAAATAAAATAAAAAATAAAACGAGGAGGGCCCAGTCGGCGTGGCTCCGTGGTTGGGCGAGAACCTAGGAGCCAGGAGGTCACGGTTGGATTCCCGATCAAGGGTACATGTCTGGGATGCGGGCTGGATCCCTAGTAGGGGGCGTGCAGGAGGCAGCCATCAATAGTTCTGTCTTCTCATTGATGTTTCTCTCTCCCTCCCTCTCCCTTCCTCTCTGAAATCAATAAAAATATATTTTTTAAAAAATAAAACTTGCCGCCGAGAACACGCAGTTTGTACAGGAAACGATGCGTGAGCTCACCATCTCGGAGCACGGGGGGGGATTTTAGGGACGACGTTCGCCACTCACCAAGATGTCCTGGTTGGCGATGCTGACGTAGACGCCCAGCTGCCCCTTGTCCTGCGGGGAGATGTCCAGGCGGCCGCAGAAGGGGGAGATGGTCACCGTGCGGCCCACGGGCAGGATGGGGAGGCTGTTGGTGAACCCGCCGTCCACCCACGTCTGCGGAGGGAAACCCGTAGTCACACGTGGGCCTGACCCGGCTGCCTGGTGGAGGGCGTGTGTACGGAGACCTCGACAGTCCGTGCCTGGGATCTGCTCCTGAATTACTAGTGACCGGGGCCAGTCCCATAGGGGGTTTGGGTTGGGAGAGAAACTAATGTTTGTGCCCATAGCATACACCCCTGGTGCATAAGAGCGGCCAGAACCGGGGAATCTGGCCAATGGTTTAGAATTTAACTCGATTGGCCCTGGCCTGTTGAGCTCAGTGGGTAGAGCATCGGTCTGCGGACTGAAGGGTCCCGGGTTCGATTCCCGGTCAAGGGCACATGCCCGGGTTGCGGGCTCGATCCCCAGTAGGGTGCATGCAGGAGGCCGCCGGTCCATGATTCTCTCTCGTCATGGATGTTTCTCTCTCTCTCCCTTCCTCTCTGAAATCAACAACAAAAATTTTTTTCCCCAATATTAAATATATATTTATTTTTACATACAAAAATATTTTACCAGGCATATGGAATGCCACAGATTGAACATTTCAATAATTTTTGTTTGGGACACTGTGTGGAAATATGCGAAAAGAAAAATTTCATAGGGGCAGCTTCTGAAAAATCAATAATTGTGTTACAAAAAATTTTATGTATACAAGGACAGTTAATATTTCTTTTACACAGGACTTAGCAAAAACAATGACTTGGCAAGCAGTCGCGATTAATTTTTATTTTTAAACTTTTTCATCAGAAACTTACTTGGGCCGCTTGTCGAGCTTTGAGTTTTAGGTTGCCAACAAGATTTTGTCCTCTGTTAAAAACAAACAAACAAACAAACAACTTCGCAGACTAGAAGTTAAAAAAGGCATGCATTTGTGTTAAAAAATAAAGGTATACCGAAATGAAATGGGGTAAATCCCCCCAAAGCAAGGTTAAAATAAATATATTTTTTAAAAAATGTTGCTTTCCAGTGATATAATAGAACTAGAGGCCCAGTGCACGAAATTCGTGCACCCGTAGGGTCCCTAGGCCTGGCTGGCGATCAGCGCTGATCTGGGGGGCGATCAGGGGGGTCCCCGCTGGCACCCGCCTTGGCTGGCCTGGGGCCTGTGGGCTGGGGCAACTCAGAGCGTCTGCCCCCTGGTGGTCAGTGGGTGTCATAGCGGCTGGTCGTTCCACTGTTCGGTCGATTTGCATATTAGGCTGTTATTATATAGCCTAGATCTCAGACAGGAAGAGAGAGGGGAGAGAGAGAGAGAAACATCCATGATGAGAGAGAACCATGGATCAGCTGCCTCCTGCACACACCCTACTGGGGATCGCGCCCACAATCCGGGCATGTACCTTTGACCGGGAATCGAACCCGGGACCCTTCAGTCCGCAGACCGATGCTCTACCCACTGAGCTCAACAGGCCAGGGCCAATCGAGTTAAATTCTAAACCATTGGCCAGATTCCCCGGTTCTGGCCGCTCTTATGCACCAGGGGTGTATGCTATGGGCACAAACATTAGTTTCTCTCCCAACCCAAACCCCCTATGGGACTGGCCCCGGTCACTAGTAATTCAGGAGCAGATCCCAGGCACGGACAGTTGAGGTCTCCGTACACACGCCCTCCACCAGGCAGCCGGGTCAGGCCCACGTGTGACTACGGGTTTCCCTCCGCAGACGTGGGTGGACGGCGGGTTCACCAACATTTCTCTTGCTGCTTTTAAGATTCTCTCTTTGTCTTTTGCTCTTGGCATTTTAATTATGATGTGTCTTGGTGTGGTCCTCTTTGGATTCCTTTTGTTTGGGGTTCTCTGCGCTTCTTGGACCTGTAAGTCCATTTCTTTCACCAGGTGGGGGAAGTTTTCTGCCATTATTTCTTCAAATAGGTTTTCAATATCTTGCTGTCTCTCATCTTCTGGCACCCCTATTATTCTGATGTTTGTACGCTTGAAGCTGTCCCAGAGGCTCCTTACACTATCTTCGTATTTTCGGATTCTTTTTTCATTTTGCTTTTCCGGTTGGGTGTTTTTTGCTTCTTCGCATTTCAAATCTTTGGCTTGATTCTTGTGCTCCTCTGGTCTGCTATTGGGTGTCTGTATAATATTCTTTATTTCAGTCCGTGTATGCTTAATTTCTAGTTGGTTCTTTATCATAGCATCGAGGGTCTCATTAGTTTTCGTGACTCTCTCCTCAAGTTTATTGACAGCTTCTAGCACATTTTTGCAAGCCCTCAAAATTGCGATTTTTAGCTCTATATCCTCCATTTCTGTCATGTTTTTTTGTCTCCGCATTTTTTTATGCTTTCTTGGTGCACCCCCTAGTGGTCTTTGTGCGCAGTCTTGTTCTAGTTGAGCCTTGATTGTTGTAGTTAACACTAGAGGGATTTGACCACCAGGCCGACTGGCTGTGTGAATCTAAAATTTTTTCTTAACGACGTAGAATTTTGTAGGAAATCACATACCCAGTCTCGGGTCTGAGTGTGAGTGCCTCTCCGTGCCTGAGCCGTTTTCCGTTTCCTCCCTCAGGTGCTCCTGGCCAGCAGCTTCCTGCCCCTCTATGCCGGCCTGAAGCCCGTGGAGTACAAAGGACAGGTACGCTCTGATCCCTGACCCATGATCAGGGATCCCATGCAGATAAGTCCCCTTCGAAGAACCCAGTGTTATAATTACGCTTCCTGGTGGTTCCGAATCAGCCCACAGGGCCTTCATGGTTCTACTTAAGTTCCAGACAGAAAATTCTGGTCTCCAGCCCGGCCAGCGTGGCTCAGTGGTTGAGCCTCCACCTAGGAACCAGGAGGTCATGGTTTGATTCCTGGTCAAGGACACATGCCTGGGTTGCGGGGTCGACCCCCAGTAGGGGGCGTGCAGGAGGCAGCCGGTCCATGATGATTCTCTCTCGTCATGGATGTTTCTCTCTCTCTCCCTTCCTCTCTGAAATCAACAACAAAAATTTTTTTCCCCAATATTAAATATATATTTATTTTTACATACAAAAATATTTTACCGGGCATATGGAATTCCACAGATTGAACATTTCAGTAATTTTTGTTTGGGACACTGTGTGGAAATATGCGAAAAGAAAAATTTCATAGGGGCAGCTTCTGAAAAATCAATAATTGTGTTACAAAAAATTTTATGTATACAAGGACAGTTAATATTTCTTTTACACAGGACTTAGCAAAAACAATGACTTGGAAAGCAGTCACGATTAATTTTTATTTTTAAACTTTTTCATCAGAAACTTACTTGGGCCGCTTGTCGAGCTTTGAGTTTTAGGTTGCCAACAAGATTTTGTCCTCTGTTAAAAACAAACAAACAAACAAACAACTTCGCAGACTAGAAGTTAAAAAAGGCATGCATTTGTGTTAAAAAATAAAGGTATACCGAAATGAAATGGGGTAAATCCCCCCAAAGCAAGGTTAAAATAAATATATTTTTTAAAAAATGTTGCTTTCCAGTGATATAATAGAACTAGAGGCCCAGTGCACGAAATTCGTGCACCCGTAGGGTCCCTAGGCCTGGCTGGCGATCAGCGCTGATCTGGGGGGCGATCAGGGGGGTCCCCGCTGGCACCCGCCTTGGCTGGCCTGGGGCCTGTGGGCTGGGGCAACTCAGAGCGTCTGCCCCCTGGTGGTCAGTGGGTGTCATAGCGGCTGGTCGTTCCACTGTTCGGTCGATTTGCATATTAGGCTGTTATTATATAGCCTAGATCTCAGACAGGAAGAGAGAGGGGAGAGAGAGAGAGAAACATCCATGATGAGAGAGAACCATGGATCAGCTGCCTCCTGCACACACCCTACTGGGGATCGCGCCCACAATCCGGGCATGTACCTTTGACCGGGAATCGAACCCGGGACCCTTCAGTCCGCAGACCGATGCTCTACCCACTGAGCTCAACAGGCCAGGGCCAATCGAGTTAAATTCTAAACCATTGGCCAGATTCCCCGGTTCTGGCCGCTCTTATGCACCAGGGGTGTATGCTATGGGCACAAACATTAGTTTCTCTCCCAACCCAAACCCCCTATGGGACTGGCCCCGGTCACTAGTAATTCAGGAGCAGATCCCAGGCACGGACAGTTGAGGTCTCCGTACACACGCCCTCCACCAGGCAGCCGGGTCAGGCCCACGTGTGACTACGGGTTTCCCTCCGCAGACGTGGGTGGACGGCGGGTTCACCAACAGCCTCCCCATCCTGCCCGTGGGCCGCACGGTGACCATCTCCCCCTTCTGCGGCCGCCTGGACATCTCCCCGCAGGACAAGGGGCAGCTGGGCGTCTACGTCAGCATCGCCAACCAGGACATCTTGGTGAGTGGCGAACGTCGTCCCTAAAATCCCCCCCCGTGCTCCGAGATGGTGAGCTCACGCATCGTTTCCTGTACAAACTGCGTGTTCTCGGCGGCAAGTTTTATTTTTTAAAAAATATATTTTTATTGATTTCAGAGAGGAAGGGAGAGGGAGGGAGAGAGAAACATCAATGAGAAGACAGAACTATTGATGGCTGCCTCCTGCACGCCCCCTACTGGGGATCCAGCCCGCATCCCTGACATGTGCCCTTGACCGGGAATCCAACCGTGACCTCCTGGCTCCTAGGTTCTCGCCCAACCACGGAGCCACGCCGGCTGGGCCCTCCTCGTTTTGTTTTTTATTTTATTTCTATTACTAGAGGCCCATTGCAGGAAGATTCCTGCAAGAATAGGGCTTCCTGCGGCCAGAGCGAAGCAGAGAAGGGAGGCGGGCTTTGCTCCTGTCTCCGCTGCCTCGCTCCCTCCCATCTCCGCCGCTCCGCTCCCTTCTGCAGCGCTTGGCTTCCTTCTACGCCGTCTTCAGTCTTCGCTCTGCGCCTATGTATGCAAATTAATCGCCATCTTTGTTGGGTTAATTTGCATACTCGCTCTGATTGGCTGATGGGCGTCGCGGAGTGACACCAATTTGCATGTTTCTCTTCGATTAGTGTAGATTGCTAATCATCAGGTTACAGATATAACGCACGGCCCTGCCCTACAGCCCCACCCTGTCTCTCTGTCCTAGGTGTCCGTGGCCAACTTGGTGCGGCTCAACCAGGCCCTGTTCCCGCCGGGCCAGCGGGAAATGGAATCCCTGTACCGTCGCGGCTTCCGGGACGCCGCTGGGTTTTTGCTCAAGGAGAACTGGTTCGAGTAGAGGGCCTCCAGGCACGTCCCGAGTCCATTGGGGATCGGTGATGAGATTTCTATAAGCCGTCAGAATTCTGTCACAGTTACCGGTCGTGGTCACGGTTTGCGTCATTTTTAATAGTTAAATGTTCCCTGGCTGCAAAGAAAGACGAGGCATTTCATGGAAGGTGGCCACGTTATCAAGGGCACAACGCGGGATGCACTTACGCAGATAAACTGGAAAACACGGAGACTCGAGCCCACCTCGAAGCCTTGGGAATAAGAAGTGAATCCCGCCCGGTCGTTATCAAGGGCACAACGCGGGATGCACTTACGCAGACGAGCTCCTGCAAAACACGGAGACACAAGCCCACCTCGAAGCCTTGGGGATAAGAAGTGAATCCCGCCCGGCCGGCCGGCGTGGCTCAGCGGTTGAGCTCTGACCTAGGAACCAGGGGGTCAGGGTTCGATTCCCGATTAGGGCACATGCCCGGGTTGCAGGCTCCATCCCCAGTCGGGCGTGCAGGAGGCAGCCGATCGATGCTTCTCTCTCCTCATGGATGTTTCTCTCTCTCTCCCTCTTTCCCCCTCTCCCTTCCTCTCTGAAATCAATAAAAAAATATTTTTTATTTTAAAAAGAAAGCGAGTGCAGATGATCATTCATTCATGAGTCCCCATTCATTTAGCAGGTTCGGACTCGAATTTCCGTCTCTTTCCATGGGGTCTGCGAGCGTGACTCCTGAGGACGAAGAGGCAGTTACCAACGAACCCGTTTTCAAGGGCCGGCCCTTCCTGGTTATGCACCTGTCTTTTCTGCCTTTTGAAACCATCCTTTCGATCAATGTGATGGCCCTTAAAAGCCTCCGATACACGGCATTGAGCTCCTACGCCCCGACCGCTGTCTCTCTTCTCTGGATCTGGGCACAGGCTGGGCGAGCAGCGGCGTCCCCTGGCGGGGGTGCGTTTAGTAGCAACGCGGCCGGTTCTTCACAGAGGGTCTCATCTCATTCCTTCTCCAGTCGGGTCTGGTCACTCACTAGCCCTTAGCGGCGTCCCCTGGCGGGGGTGCGTTTAGTAGCAACGTGGCCGGGTCTTCACAGAGGGTCTCATCTCGGTTCCTTCTCCAGTCGGGTCTGGTCGCTCACTAGCCCTGTCACCTCCGTCCCTGTTATGTGGATACTAGAGGCCCGGTGCACGAAATTCATGCAAAGGGCTCAGCTCTTGCAGCCCCGGCTTTGTTTGGAAGGTCATCCGGAAGGTTGTCTGGAAGGTCGTTCGGTCTAATTAGCATCTTAGCTCTTTATTCTATAGGATTCTATCTGTGTGAGCGTTTAATGAATTCTTTACGGATGTCTTCCCAAGCAAAAAACACATCTTTTCTTTTTTAAAACATATTTTTATTGATTTCAAGAGGGAGAGAGAGAGAAACATCGATGATGAGAGAGAATCATGGACTGGCTGCCTCCTGCACGCCCCCTACTGGGGATCGAGCCCGCAACCCGGGCATGTGCCCTGACCGGGGACTGCACCCTGATCTCCTGGTTCCTAGGTCGACGCTCAACCACTGAGCCACCCAGGCCGGGCCAGAAACAAATCCGAAAGCACTGGATGTTGTAAAAGTATTCGGTGCCGACAGCCTGCGCCTGTGACCGTGCGGCTGGATGGTGTGTCCCTGGAGGATGGGGTAGGAGGGGCGATGGGTCTGCAAAAGCCGGTGGGGAAATGAGACCCTGTCACCAGGCGAATGGCCTGTGTACTCCACGCGTGTCAAACTCGCGGCCCGCCGGCCGCATGCGCCCACAACGAATATTTCTGCGGCCCAGCCAATAGGACGACATGTAAGAAACGTTTTAATATAAGTTTTCTCAATTTTTACACTATCATGTTGTACATCATTATTAATCACAAACCACAACGTTCGCTAATGATTGATGACTCTAATCGTGTTGCATTCATTTCCCTTACACTCAGGCGCACCATCTCTCCCCACTGATACCGGCGGCAAATGTTCTAGCAGCCGATGGACACGCGTCCTTCGTCTCGGACTGACTTGCTTGGTGTGCGCAACGGGAAATCTCTCGCTTTCGGAGAACGAGAAAAACGGGTTTATCTGCGTGACGCTGATTCATTGATGCTGTTATTCCGTGTCTGGTAAGTTCATGTTCAAGAAAAAATACAAATTTTTATTAAAATGTGCTATTATTTTCTGTGAGCGACGGCTCGTTTATCTCAGCCCTTTGCCTTCAGCACGTCTCCGTCGGAATAAACCCACGTTTCTGTGGAAACGGAAGCTTCTGTTTGTTTGCGGCCGCACACACGTCAACCGTGTGTATTTGGCCCGTGTTCGCCAGATCCCGGGATGCCTGCGGGGCGATGACTGTGATTGGCGGCTCGCCCCGTTCCCAGGTCCCTGTTGGCGCCCATTCCCTAATAACCTCCTCCGAATGGCTGTCCTTTAACATCCCATCCTCGCTTCCTCTTTTCAGGAACATCCTTGCTTTGTAGCTATGGTTACAAACACCGACAATTAGGGAAGACAGATGTGGCTGTCAGGTTCAGCGATGCTCTAACAGGCCAGGCCGTAGTAAACAACAAAACTCTGCCACACGGGGGCTTGGGAAGTCGCCCTGAGCGTCAGAAGCTGGCAAAACGCCCGTCGTAGGGTCCTGGTATCGGAGGGGTGGGTGCCCTGTACCTGCCAATATTTATAACATCCTTCACGGCCACAAAGAACCGTCCACTTAAACATGGGCCTGCTCCACGGGGTCAGACATTGACTAAACTCACCCCATTGCCTCGGCAGGGCCACGCCACATGATCTCCTGGGGCTTACACGGCCCCTCGGCCGAACGTTCCCCACCCCAGGCCACCTGCCTCTCAGGTTTTCCGATGCCTGTGACGTGTGCCCTATGCACGTGCAATACATTTATAAATAAATAAACAAAATGGGACGCATGGGAATGATTTTCTAAGCAGAACAGGGCCATGACAGTTTGCCAACGCCATGCGAACCCGATACACACGGTGTCTCAGGATGACTCACTGGAGACCCACTCCGAGGTGTTAGCCAGCCTCACCTCCGTAAACTTTAAAAAAAGATGCATATAAAGACGTGCCCTCTTGTATTTATGAACTAGAGGCCCGGTGCATGAAATTCGAGCACGGCGGGGGAGGGGGGGGGGCCCTCAGCCCCGCCTGCATCC